TTATTATTATTATTAGTTGCAAAAAGTTATCAAGGAAGTTGCATAAGAAAAAACACAGGTGTGCAACTTGGGGGTGCACCTGAATCAGTCTCCGAGGCTGGATGCCCAAGTTTTAGCAGTGGCCAGGAGTTCATGTGCACAATTAAAACGTGTGTGTCAGCATTGCCTGCCCCTGGAGAAGTCTGATCTGGCCATGGTGAAACATGCCAGTTGGACTACTGTAATGCACTCTACCTGGGGCTACCTTTGGAAAGTGTCCAGAAACATAATCAGCTCCAAAACATGGCATCCATATTGCTCACTGTGGCTGGTCACCAGGATGACATAGCTCTTCTGTTACAGCAGCTCCACTGGCTGCTGATCCATTTCCAGGCATGATTCAAGGGCACTAGTTCCAACCTATAAAGCCCTAAAACAGCCATCTCAAGGACCGTGTCTCCCTTTATGAGCCACCTTGAGTGTTAAGATCACGAGGAGAGGCCTTTCTCTCCGTCCCACCCCCTTCACAGGTACATTTGGTGGGGACACAGGAGGGGGCCTTCTCTGTGGCTTCTCACAGCATTTGGAACTCCCTCCCACAGGAAGTCAGGCTGGCCCCATTTTCGCTGGCTTTCTTCAAGCAAGCTTTCCCTCAGAGATTAGATGCTCGAGCGGGTTTTTAAATAGAATGTTGTGCCTTACTTCTTTGAATGTGTTTTTAGTGTTGCTTTCGTTTACTGTGTTTTAGTGCAGTATTTGTTCGATCTTTTTCTAGTACTTTGTATACTTACTGTTTTAGCTTTGAATGTTGGCTTTGAATGATGCAAGGTGCCCTGGGTCTTTTTTTAAAGGAAGACCATTTTTAATAAAAATATATATTTCATTTTATACTCTTATTGTCAGGACAGACAGGAAATTGTGCACCATTACAGTTTTGCTTCCTTGGTCAAGGCCACTAACATTCTCAGCCCGCCTTAGGTTAATCACCTTGATATTTTAGTGAATATTTCCCACAGATTTTGAAGCTGCAAACTTAGCATTGATCTTAAACTATGGAGAAAACATTGACCTCTCCATTTGAATGTGGTTTGTCTCTCTCCCCCCACCCGCCCCGTTTACACGTGTACATGGCCAAATGTCACTATTTTAATAGTAGGTACCATCTTTTTCTTGGTTTTGCCCCCTGGTTAACCCAAATAACAAAGACATATGGAAACATTTCAGTCATTCAAAGCCTAGGTTTCAGTCATTAGTTGTGTGCTATCTTTGCCAACAGGGCATCTTGTGACTTCTTCTGTTTACCTCAGTCACAAGAAGGTGACACTGTACAAAGAAAAGAAAACCCCTTATAGTTGCATGGGTTGAAGGTGTCCCCATCCCAAATTCTGTAATACACAAGTCCTGTTTAGCTTTCATCATTCATTAGAACACATGGACAGGGAAAAAATTCTGGTGCATCTCCTCCTTGTCACGCTTTCTGTTTCTATCAGGAGAAAGACAATCTGAAGTTGCATCCTTCTACACGTGGAATTTCTTTATTGCCACCACAAAGAAGGAAGAGAAAACAATACAAAAGGTGTCTTGAAAACTCCATGCCCTTCCATCCCAGAGAGAGAGAGAGAGAGAGAGAGAGAGAGAGAGAGATTTCTATTCACCATGAAATCAGCATTGCATCGCAAACCAAAGAAATGATACTTTATTAACAAGAACATAAATATGTAATGAAGGGCCCATGGAAGTTAATGTCACATTGAATCAGTTAAAAGAAACTGTAAAACTGTAAAAGAGATTATATCTGAAAACAGAAATTGTCCTTAAAACATCAAAGAAAATACTTAATTAGTAAACCTTATATTTTTATCTTTCACTGTTTTGAAAGACTGATTAACCATCTCATAGCATTGTTGATTATATCTTTCAGCAAAAGCAAGACATTTGTATTAAGATCCCACCAAAGAAAAGTATATACATATACATATAGGTAAAGGTAAAGGTTCCCCTTGACATTTAGTCCAGTTGTGTCCGACTCTAGGGTGTGGTGCTCATCCCTGTTTCCAAGCCGTAGAGCCAGCGCTTGTCTGAAGACAGTTTCTGTGGTCATGTGGCCAGCACGACTAGACATGGAATGCTGTTACCTTTCCACCAAGGTGGTATCTATTTATCTACTCGCATTTTTGCATGTTTTCGAACGTTTAGGTTGGCAGGAGCTGGGACGAGCGATGGAAGCTCAATCTGTCACATGGATTCGATCTTACAACGGCTGGTCTTCTGACCTTGCAGCACAGAGGCTTTTGCAGCTTAACCCACAGTGCCACCACATCCCTATATACATAGACATGTACGTATACATGCAATATACATATACATAATGAAAATGGTGCTCATAGAGAAACATCAAGTACCACTAAATGTAATAAACTATATTTTTCTGCAAATCAAATTTTAGCTTTATCATCCTCCCACATTCTGCATTTTTCCATATATTTGATAGTCCTACACTCTTACATATGTTAAAAGCTATATTTTAAAAACATTTTATATCTCATTTAAAACATTTCAGGAGAAGGTTTGCTACTGAAACCAAAAACCTTAGAATAATGTAAACAAACTGTTGAAGAAATCAAGAGATCCTTATACACCACCCATTAGTGATAGTATGTTAGCAATAGTAAGTAACATTTTTAAATTTCTAGGAAAAGAGGAAATCTTAAGTTTTGTATAATATAGAATTTGGGGATGTATTAGAACAATAACAGGCCTATTGAAGGAGTTGCTAATATAAAATTGTATGTTCATTTATTCCTCTTTCTTCCTCATCATTACACCACACTGCGTCTCTCAGACCACACTGCGTACCTCTTGCGCCTTGTGAAAAACCATGTAAGAATCCAAGTGCTTCATTTGTGTCATGTGCAAATCACTGGACTAGGATTTGGAAAACAGGGCAGTGTGAAGTGTGGTGTCATTATTCCTTCTTTAGCTCGGCAAAGAAGGGAATCCCTAAAAAGGAAGTATTATAAAAGTTTCACACTTTAGGTTGTTCTCCTCCCAAAATTATCTCCCTCATCCTTAAACACCATCTGTAAGGCGTCCTTCATGGTTAACTTGTACTGACCATTCTTTTGTTTCCCACCAATTAAGAAATAGATCAATGGGTTCAAGCTACTGTTCAGCGAGGAACACGCAAAACCAACCAGCATTAGCTTCCGAGGTGGACGGACACAGAAATAAATTATGTCTATCACGTGAAGAGGCAAGCTCCAGATAAAGGAGACGAGGAGTACAAGCAAAATGGATGTGATGAGCTTTCCTCGCTGGCACTGATTTGTTTTACAGCAGAAGTGGATGAAGAGCGTTAGGGTGGAAATCACCATGACTGCAGTGGAAAACAGAACATTCAGAATAGACTGATAGGGTAGTGGAGAATGTCTAAAGCTCATTGTCTGGAGGAGAGAGAAGTGAATGGCCGAGAGCAGGAAGGAGAGGACCCATATCAGAGGACAAACAAGGGCGGGTAGATATGGTGGCCGGTGGCATCGATGCCAAAGGGGGAAAAGGACAGCTGTACATGACTCAAGGCTGATGGCTGCCAATAAGAATTGTCTAGCATAATATGTGAAAATAAATAGTGTGGAGAACAGACAGAGAAAATCGATTGGACCATAGAGACTGATTCCAAATCCAAAGATAGCCATACCAAGTAGACAGATGAGGACTTCAAAATCAGCTATGCAGAGGTTGAGGATGTAGGTGGTGAAGGAATTACCGGTACTTGTTATGTGGAAGCCAAGAAGCCAGATGACCATTCCGTTTCCCACAAGCCCCCCGAGACAGATGATGAAAATGAAGCTGTTGGTAATAGTTTGTGATAAGGTACCAAAATAATCTGTAGCATTAACTCGATGTCCAAGCTCAATACTTTCATTTACAGATGACCTATTACTGGAATTTCCGGAAATAATACCACCATATGGAATCAGGGTTTTATCTTCTATAATATTAGTAGGTATGGCTCTGTTTAAAAGCAGAAAAAAGAGAATCCATGTTTATATTGCAAGCATTGAAAGTTGTCTATACTATTTATTCTCCACATATCAAAGTATTGATCTTTTTTTTTGTGCCACTTCTTAGCGGATGACTGTGATATATGCATTTGATAAGTAATATCAATACTCCCAAATGCTGATGAAATTAAAATCAATTTATATCACATTTTGCATCAAGTGACATTAAGTTAGACAGCATTGATCAAACACACAGAGATAACAATACCTTCCAGATAATTGCAGAAGACAGTTTTGTAAGATAAAATAAATTTGTTTGTAATTATCTATCTATCTATCTATCTATCTATCTATCTATCTATCTATCTATCTATCTATCTATCTATCTATCTATCTATCTATCTATCTATCTATCTATCTATCTATCTATCTATCTATCTATCTGTTATCCCATCTTTCTTTCAATAGCTCACTATATTTTCACAACAGCATTTTGAGGTAGGTCAGTTCCTCAAAAAGCAAAATACACTTACCCAATACTTGTTTTCTCATTATAAGTGGAAGTTTCTACTGCAAAATAAATAAACAAAATAAGAATTGTGAGGCAAATCAATATTACTTAGCCATCAAAGTGCAATATTTTTTCCACATTTTTATGAACTTCTGAATCAACAGTTACTGAACATGGTGCATTTAGTAATCCCTCATCATCAAAGTTATGTGCAATGACATTCCTTAAATTATAATTCAGTGAATGAATGAAAAACTTCTTGTATTACTGGTATGCATATATAGTGAGCCATCATTCTACATACTTCATTTGGATGTTCTCAAACGTTTGTGTTCTTGAAGTACCTTAACATGTAGCAAGAACACTAAGAAAATTTAACAGTAGGGTGAAGACTGTGAATTTGTCTAGCTCTCTCACAGATGCACATACGTATTTCCCCCACCAGGAAATTAAGATATGAGACCTGAGAGATGAGATGGGAGGGAAAGGCCCACAATTTTGTTAATGATTTAACCCCTTTTAACTTCAGCTGCTCCATAACTGAGGTCAAGCAGGAAGAGGTCCATCCTGACCTTCTCTGATGACCAACCAAGGCAAGACCCAATACTTCCAGTCTTGCTCCACCCAGCTTAATGTTCATTGGCCTAGTTTATTTATTTATTTCTTTATTTATTTTATTTATTTATATCCTGCCTATCTGGTCGGGTGAGGACCACTCTAGGCGGCTAACAATCATACAATGATACAATAAAAGTAGAAATTGACAATTCTAAGTAATAAAAACACTACACTGCGATACACAAAAAACAAAACAGAAAACAGTAGTTCTAAATCAAGTCACAAGATATAAAGCCAGCTGTAGCCTGAGTTGTTCACAGATGTTTTCCCACATTTATGTCCCTTGATGACATGATTGGAGGGATCCAATATCGCAGTAACTAAATGGCACTCACCATAACTACCTAGCCTTTCACCAGTATCCACCACAGCAGGGGGTTGCTCCCACTTCGTTCCTAACCCACCATTCTGGGGAACACAAAAGACACTTTGCTATTGGCCCTTTGAGAAAATAGCTGCCTCCGGTCTGCCAAATGCACTCCAGAGAACAGTTCAGGACAACCAGAGATGATCCTCTTGGGCCCTCATATAGTATCCTCCTTATTTAATCAATCCTGCTATTAATTCCTGGCTGGGCAAATGCCAGTGTCATCTCAGGTCTCACCTTCCTCCTAAATGCTTCATCACGTTGCAGCTATAGAACTCCATCTCAGACCTTTCAATCGAATGAATGTAATGGAAGATGGACAGTGCCTGTCAGGGCTGTTTCTGCTCCAACAATCCAGTATAAATAAGGGAACCCAGTGACCAGGCTGCCCACATGCTCTCTACCCTCCACTTCTGCAGCCTTTCCTTCTCTTCATCATCCAAGCCATCTTTATCCTCTCCTTCAGTCTCCGTGAAAAGGAAGCAAAACATATCCATGTACTCACGATTTGGGATGACTGCGTCCAGGAGAATCTGTTCCTGTTAATGAAACAATGAAGCTCAAATGACTGAGTTATAATTTTTATTCCTCGCTATTGGGAAACCTGCTGGACCAGTTATGCCTGATGCTAAGCAAGGTTGGGTTGCCCGAAAAAGATGCCCCACCCTCTCTGGGCCCAATGCTGCATGTGATACGCTCCCCTCTAGGATCCTGGCGAGGTGGGAAGTCCTGGCACCCCACTAGCCTCTCGTTCACATGGCTGGTGCTTTTCATTACTCACCTCCTGTTGTTGCTCTACAAAACCCTCTTCTTCTATTTCTGGCCAGGCTGGGAATCCTGATAATCAAAATTAGCAGGAGAGAGTCTCATTAGTAGTCTGCTGCAAGTTAGCCAACTTGATACTCTTTGTGACATGCCATCCTGGTGTCTGTTAGTGGCTTTCCTTTGCCCTGAAACCAGTTGGTACCATGTTATGGTCCATGCTTTGGAAGATGAAATGAGGACTGGTGCGGAATTTATATGGGCATGCCTTTTGGCACACATCTCAGTCTCCCTGAAAATCAAGCTAAACACATCCATGTACTCACGATTTTGGATGTCTGCATCCGGGTCAAAGGGAATCTGTACCTGTTCACAAAACAAGGAAGCTCAAATGGCTGAGTTATAATTTTTATTCCCCACTATTGGGAAACCTGCTGGACCAGTAGTACCTGGTGCTAAGCAAGGTTGGGTTGCCGGGAAAAAGATGCCCCACCCTCTCTGGGCCCAATGCTGCATATGATACTCTCCCCTCTAGGATCCTGGTGAGGGGGGAAGGGCTGGCACCCCACTAGCCTCTTGTGCACATGGCTGGTGGTTCTCAGTACTCACCCCCTTTCCCCCAAACCAATCCATGTATTCCAATTCTGGCAACTTCGGGAATCCTGATAATACAAAATAGCAGGAGAGAGTCTCATTAGCAGTCTGCTGTAAGTTAGCCATCTTGGCACTCTTAGTTTCCTTTTGTGACATGCCATCCTGGTGTCTGCTAGCGGGTTTCCAATGCCCTCAAACCAGTTGATACCACATTATGGTCTGTGGTTTGGAAGATGAAAGGAGGGCTGGTGGGAAATTTTGATGGGCACACCTTTTCGCACACATCTTACTCTTCTCTTTTCCTATGTCTGTTTCTGGACCCATGGATACAGCCCTATTGTTCACAATCTCTTGGGGGAGCCTCTGCCATACCCCCGACTCCTGCACACCTAGCAAATGAGAAACATTGTAGGACAGGTCCTCCTCTTTGATCAACCCTACACAGGATGTCCTCTGTGGACCCTTGCCCTGGTGCCAGTAGTCTTGCCCTCCACCAGAATTCACCCCTGCCCCCCCAAATAACTGTTTAATTTTCATGTTGAACATCTGTCCTGAAATCTAAAATTATAATTGATTTAATGTTGATCAAAATTCTGATGCATCCTAAACTGGCAATGTTGGGTGGTGCTTGTCACACATCACGGTGGGAGTTCAAAATAGCAACCACCCACACCCCAAACAACAGCCCAAATTATAGATTTCTACAGCTGTTGAACTCCAAACTTGATATCTCACCATATTGTCTGCAGACCAAAGTAATGATGGCTGTTCAATCAATGCTTTTCCAGCAATATTATTAATTGTATGGACATTTACGTTCCTGTCTCATCAATAGAAGACAATTCTGAGGAGACTGCCTTATGAACAGTCAGAAACTGAATGTTCAGCTGAGAGTAGATGACAGGTGAGTGTGTGGAGAAAGATGCCGACATTGGCCAGAACCCTCCTGGTCTTTGGTTATAATTGTGCAACATGAAAAGATAGAGATGATCTATATAGGCAGCAAAAACAAGACCTGGAGCTGATTGTGGCTCTGATCATCAGCTTCTTAGAGAACAACTCAAGCTTAAACTGAAGAAAGTAGGAAAAACCACTGGGCTAGTCAGGTATAATCTAAACCAAATCCCTTATGAATACACAGTGGAAGTGAAAAACAGATTTAAGGAACTCAATTTGGTGGACAGAGAATGTTACGCTTCTGGCGCAGAGTAAATGAAGACACTTTACCAGCTCTTCTTTGACGGTTATATTTACATATATGTACACTTATATACAGGCAGGTCTCTACAGCACATCTAGAAGTCTTCACACAGTCCGACAGCATGCGTGGCAGAAAATCACATCAGAAGAAGAGAACATTCTACAGACACAGTCCATATTTATACATAATCTTGTCTCTGTCCAGTCCAATCGGGTTCCAGGTGACCTCATCTCTGCACCTGGGCTCTTTCTGGTTTCACCTCATTGCATCAGCTTAGGATGATTCAGCTTTTCTCTCATCTGCACATAATGGCAGCTCGTTAATGAAACATATATGGGTTCAGGCCTATAAAATTCTATACCCTGACAGAGAACAACTATGGATGGAGGCTCATAACATTGTACAGGAGGCAGCAACAAAAACCGTCCCAAAGAAAAGGAAATGCAAGAAAGCAAAGTGGCTGTCCAACGAGGCCTTAGAAATAGCAGAGAGGAGAAGGGAAACAAAATGCAAGGGAGATAGGGAAAGTTACAGAAAATTGAATGCAGACTTCCAAAGAATAGCAAGGAGAGACAAGAGGGCCTTCTTAAATGAACAATGCAAAGAAATAGAGGAAGATAACAGAAAAGGAAAGACCAGAGAGCTGTTCAGGAAAATTGGAGATATTAGAGGAACATTTTGCGCAAAGATGAACATGATAAAAGACAAAAATGGGAGGGACCTAACAGAAGCAGAAGACGTCAAGAAGAGGTGGCAAGAATACACAGAGGAATTATATCAGAAAGATGTGGATATCCCGGACAACCCAGACAATGTAGTTGCTGACCTTGAGCCAGACATCCTGGAGAGCGAAGTCAAGTGGTCCTTAGAAAGCCTGGCTAACAACAAGGCCAGGGGAGGTGATGGCATTCCAGTTGAACTATCTAAAATCTTGAAAGATGATGCTGTTAAGGTGCTACATTCAATATGCCAGCAAGTTTGGAAAACTCAACAGTGGCCAGAGGATTGGAAAAGATCAGTCTACATCCCAATCCCAAAGAAAGGCAGTGCCAAAGAATGCTCCAACTACCGAACAATTGCACTCATTTTATATGTGGGACAGGAAGCAACAGTTAGAACTGGATATGGAACAACTGATTGGTTCAAAATTGGGAAAGGAGTATGACAAGGCTGTATATTGTCTCCCTGCTTATTTAACTTATATGAAGAATACTGTACATCATGTGAAATGCAGGACTGGATGAATCCAAGGCTGGAATGGAAGATGGACAGTGCCTGTCAGGGCTGTTTCTGCTCCAACAATCCAGTATACAACAATCCAGTTTCTGCTCCAACAATCCCTCCACTTCTGCAGCCTTTCCTTCTCTTCATCATCCAAGCCATCTTGATCCTCTCCTTCAGTCTCCATGAAAAGCAAGCTAAACATATCCATGTACTCACGATTTTGGATGTCTGCATCCGGGTCATGGGGAATCAGTTCCTGTTCATAAAACAATGAAGCTGGATTGACTGAGTTATAATTTTTATTCACCACTGTCCAAACATATCCATGTACTCACGATTTTGGATATCTGCATCCGGGTCATGGGGAAACTGTTCCTGTTCACAAAACAATGAAGCTGAAATGACTGAGTTATAATTTTTATTCCCCACTATCATGTCCCCCCAGTGTCCCTTGTTTGTTCCCCCCAAACACAGATCCACTTTCTGGATGCATTTCCTCTCTTTACGCTGCCACCAGTGGATCTAGTCCACACTATATCAAATATATGTATCTCAGACATGTGCTGCCAATACAACAGGTTTATTGATCTTTTAGTTGGTATGTAAATCACAGATGTAAATCACAGTTCTTAAGACTCATTCATTAAACTGGATTTGATTACACGTTTGCTTCTATGTGCTTTTTTTCACAATAACACTTTAAAAATATTCTTTGACCCTCTATTCTTTATTCCTTTTAACTTTTTCCTATTCTCTATAACAGTAGTCCCCAACCTTGGGCCTGAGAGATGTTCATGGACTACAACTCCCAGAAGCCTTCACTGCTACCTCTGCTGGCCAGGATTTCTGGGAGTTGAAGTCCAAGAACATCTGGAGGCCCAAGGTTGGGGGCCACTGCTCTATAAGACTCCAACTTTCCAATCTCTGTCTTAACTCTCTCAATTCAATGTCCTAACTCTCTCACTTCCATTCTCTATCTCTCTCCCTTTCTCTCTGTCTGTCACTTAACGCTCTCCCTTTCTCTCTAATTGTCTGTCACTTAACACCACCCCTCCTGTCCTGTCATAGGCTCCTGCAGTTGAGCTCCATATGTTGGACAGGAGTGACATGGGCATTCCACCACACCCACTATTGGGAAACCTGATGGACCAGCAGTGCCTGGTGCTAAGCAAAGTTGGATTGCCCCCAAAAGATGTCCCACCCTCTCTGGGCCCAATGCTGCATGTGATATGCTTCCCTCTAGGATCGTGGTGAGGTGGGATGGATCTGGTGAGGTGGGAAGAGCTGGCACCCCAGCAGCCTCTTGTGCACATGGCTGGTGCTTTTCAATACTCACCTCTTGTTCCACTACCAAATCCTCGTATTCCATTTCTGGCCGTTTCGGTAATCCTGATAATACAAATTAGCAGGAGAGAGTCTCATTAGCAGTCTGCTGTAAGTTGCCTGTTGGTTGGTCAGAGTATGCACAGAGTTCAGACTCCTGTCCTCTGAAGAAGCCAGCCACAGAGACTGGTGAAACGTTAGGAGGAACAACCTTCAGAACACGGCCATAGAGCCTGAAAATCCTACAACACCCATTGTTGCGGTCACGATATGAGAACGCTGATAGGCTATGTGATCACAAGTAATTAAGATAGTAAATAGTCTTAGAGAGAGAAGTTAAAGAAGTCAGCCACACACACAAGGATGTTTACTGATCCAAGCAGCCCCCTCTCGTAACTGAGCATTTGGCTTTATTTTCCCTCGGTGTAAAACTTTGAGTTTTCCCCAGTTACATTTCATTCTGACATCATTTCTGTGGCATTCCTCTTTCAGGTTTATCCTCAGATGAACAAAATACACGATGGAAAGTCATGGACACCTTTCTCTTTCTTAAACAGGAAGAGAATGAGTTGTTTAATACTAGTGAGAACTGAGGCGCAATGTCTGAGATGTTCCAGGAGGATAAAGGTGTAGGATAAAAGAGCAGAGCTCAGACATCATTGAAGGTGGGTTTGGGAAAGGAAGCTGATCTCTGCCTGAGAAAAAGAGAATATCAAGAAATACTGGAAGCACTGAAATATCTACGTACCCATGGTTATACCCATCTCTGTATTGGTTTCCTTCAGGAAAGGCAGCTGCAATGAAGATTTTCCAGAACACAGAAGAAAAATACAGCATATCACCAAGCTTCCTGGAAGACGTACAGGAGATTCCATTGCTCTTTAGCTTCCCTTCACTGGCTTTGTGTAACAGGAAGACAATGTTCCACTGGCTGTTATGAAGATTACCAGTTTAGACTCTGGTTTAGGAGGAGAAGACTTAAATACTGTCATACTGTTATCAGGGAATGCAGATTTGGTTCTGATAATGGAAAGGAAAAGAAACGTGTGATTCACGATCTGATTAGGTGAAAAAGGAAGGTATTTCGACATCGTAAACCTGGCTCTGCTCCTTGTGTAGGGCGTTAATTTGGTAGGACCAAGTTGAAAGGATTCACTAGTTTATGTGAATATTTGTGTAGTTATGAAATGTGGCCCCTCTTTCGGTGGCTGCTTTCAGAACTGATGTATTCAAAAAGCTTTGTCTCACTCTGACTTCAGTAGCCATGTAACAGGTCCATGCTGATTTGTCATTTTCAGTTAAACCTGGTCCAACTGAAGTCATCATTTTTATAGGTTGTGTCCCTGGTCTCGTTCATACAAGGCTGCCCAGGTTAAGTATGATGTCGTAAAAGTGCTTTAAGGTCTCTCTGAGTTCCATGTAAACAAGAAACTTTTCCCTTTTGGAATGGAATTTGTACTGATACCAATGTGTAAGGAAACAGCTTGACGAGTTCATTTAAAATCCAACAGTTTCAAAAGAGATGGGCTTGCCGACCGCTCATGATCTAATTGCAGTTGAAATGGTAAATAGATAGATAGATAGATAGATAGATAGATAGATAGATAGATAGATAGATAGATAGATAGATAGATAGATAGATAGATAGATAGATAGATAGATAGATAGATAGATAGATAGATAGATAGACATGGTCTTAAGTGGTCTACACAAAAAATGATGTCTTGCTTGTAGTTGTAAAAAGGAAAGCTTCGAGGCTCTTCTGCCTTTCAAAAAGTCATTCTGAAGAGTTTTTCTCTTCTTGCATTTCCATTGGGAAACAAACCATAGAATTCAATCTGGAAGTGGAGTCATAGAAACCAATGTTATGATTTTTACACCCCAAAATCTCTAGACTTTGCACATGACTTGGAATTACATTGATGGTATCAGTGTCATGGTTAAAATAGGTTGCCTTATAAGGAAACGTTTGCTACTTCTCTAGTATCTTCCTGTAACTCAAAATGTCTTCCTGTTCTTTAAAAAACCACAACACTTTCAATTTCCCTCCCACCAGTTTCAGCCTCTGACAATGGGCTCACTTAAAAACTGCAAAACCAATTCAATCCCCTCCCATTTTTACTTCTTTATCATACAGAATAATATCCAACATGTAAAATGTATTAAAATATCTATTTTTCCCCTTGGGTGTTGGATAGTATAACAGGTGGGAAACCTTGACATCTGAGCGTTCAGCCTGGAGGCAGGCGGTGCATCACAACCTCTCCCAATTTGAAGAGACCCTTGTCCAGTAGGCCAAGGCAAAGAGGCAGTCCCGAAAGCACCAAAATCAGGGAGCTGGACAGATTGTATTTGTCTTCAGTGTTGAAGAGATGGTCACTCTTGAATTGGCCTTCTCAGCCACACTAGACGCTGTTCCAAGTCCTCCATACAGAACATGTTACCATAGTTTCTCAAGACAGAAGGATGCCTAAGCACTGACAGTATCAGTAATAGGATTCTGGCTACTGTAAAAAGTAATGAAGAAAATTCCTTGGGCACATCTGAAACTTCAGATCCTCTTATTTGATTAGTGTGACATGTTTCTAAATTATAATAATTCATTCAAAATAATCAAATAAGTACAGTATGCTTCTTTGGTTGCAAAATGTAAGAGATCTCAGCAAACACTGGATTTTCAACAATGGAAACAGAAGTTCATCGTACAACGGAAGAGTTTTTGTGCAAAATACATTTTCTTCTATTTTTTGCAAGAGAGAGAAAAAAAGTGAAAAATATTTTTAAAGTATCACAATTCTCTCAGTGTGCAGAAAAGATCGGCATGTGATTTCGGTCCCGACTTCCTCTAAATTTTGCTTGGATTAGACCATCGACATCTCCCACAAACTCCAAGAGGAGAGGCAAAACAATGTGGTCAAAAGTCTAGAATCAGACAAGAACTAAGTATCTGGTGGGATGAGCTCCAACATCCCTTAAACCTAATTCTTATTTATTTGGTGACAAAGTCTTGACGACCATCCAGCATAGTAGCGGTGGCAGAACAGTACTCTACGAAGATGATGGAATTAATGTCTAAAATCCTGTTGCTTGATGTAGTGAGTCACAGAAAGGTAGGTCCACTGAATCAGTGGAACGTAGGTGAGTCAAATTCTCCAGAAGTTCCTTTGATTCATATGGTTCTGCTCTTGTTATCTACTTTAGTGTAGTAATTTGCAATGAGAGTAGGCCCAGTCAATGGAATGTATAGAGGATTTCACTCACTGAATCCCCACCAATTCAATGGTCCTAGCCTTCTGCAATAGGATTTCACCTAATTAATCAGGGAAGGGAAAATATTTGGTTGAAAGAGAGAGAAAGGGTGCCTTTGCCAGACCCACTCTCAGGTTATGATCCCCACTCTCACACATGTTTTAATTTCCGCATTAGTGCCAGGCAGCCTTCTGCAGAGTTGTCAAGTTTTGGTCCCTGTCAGAAATCCTGGAAAACAAGGGGGTTGTGTTCTCCCGGTTTGACTCTTTTGACACTAAATTTGGCCCTACAAATTGCAGAAACTGGTGTGCAGTACCAGTACTATGGGTGCAAAAAAGCTAAACAAATTCTCATTCTGGATTGGTTGTAAGTGGTAGTGTCCTGGAGGATGAGAGAATATGCTTTCTAGAGGTGTCTGAGATCCCTTCCTCAGGATGAGACTTCAGGCACTCAATAGACAGTTTGTGTGGTTCTGTTATTGAGGCTTCCACTCATGAAGGCCAGGAATGGCTTCTGATTCCTTAGATCTTCTGCCACTGGGAAGCTGAGTTTCTAAGGGCTGTGAGAGTGATAAGAGAACTTCTCAGTCCCATTTTCCTCCCTGTATCCCCCCCCCTCACATATCTCATGTTCTTTCTGTCCTGCTATTGGAGGAATTTCCAAAGTTTAGTAAGTTTATGAAAAATGAATCATACAACATTCTCAACCCATCCTAGGTGAAATCCCTTGTTGTTGTTTTTTTAAATGAGCATATCCCACAGCTTTTGAAGTTGTGTGCTTAATATATACTGTGTATATTATGTGCTCTTAGGTGGAGTTCTGGGTTTTACGATTGTTATGAGGGTGTGTATATTTTGGTCTGGTTTCTTTGTGAATTCTTTGTGAATTTCGTTGTATGTGTATACTTTACTTTACCTTTATTGGCATAAAAAGCGCATACAGACATACAAAGGGTACAAAGTACAACTTGTGGGGACAGCCCCTAAAACACTAAAACTTAGGGTTGGATTCTCAGTTGTATGTGTATATACATTCAATGACAATAAATTATTATTATTATACATATAAGCATTAATTTCTGTATTTGGGTTCAGTTTGTGTGTCATTTTTTAAGTATGTGTCCACACGTTTGTTGTCAATCGTCATTCCTTTCACAGTAGGTACCTTCTTTCTCCCCCTACACCTCCTGATTAACCAAAGGAATGAAGAGATATGAAAACATTTCAGTTCTTTATTATTTATTTATTTGAAATATTTTTTACTCCTCCTTTCTCCATTGAAAGGAACCAAAGGGGCTTACATCATTAAAAGATAATATTTAAGGATAAAAACAGTCAGTTTCGAAATACTGAAAAGAATCAAATGTCATAATAATATATGATAAACACCAGAAACACATTCAAACATAAATTGAATACAGTTAATAATAATAACATATGATAAACAAAGCAACGCCAGAAACACATTCAGAGTAGTAAAGGAGGGAGAGAGGAAGCGAGAGAGTTCCAAATAGCAGCAACAGAGAATCCCTCTTCTGTGTCCCCACCAACCACACATGGGAGAGAGGAAGCGAGAGAGTTCCAAATACAGGGAGCAGCAACAGAGAAGCCCTCTTCTGTGTCCCCCACCTGTGGGACTGAGAGAAAGGCCTCTCCTGATTAATACTGGAGTTTGTTAAGCAAATCGACATGCAGATCAATGCATGATCACCTGAGAGGTAGGAAGTGCCTGGTTACTCCCATGCTGGGTAGTTAGGCTAACCGCCCCCTCTCCTTGACCAATTAGCTAACACAGTGTTTCCTACAGGAGAAATGTAGGGAACATAGATCTCACAAAGGCCTTTGATTTGGTTAGCGGGGATGGTGTTTTTAAAATCCTTCCCAAGATTGGATGTCCACCTCAGCTCCTTAACATCATGAGGTCCTTTCATGATGAAATTAAGGGCACCATAGTTTTGATGGCTCAACATCAGATCCCTTTGACATCCGAAGTGGAGTGAAACAGGGGTGTGTCCTTGTGCCAACCCTGTTTGGGATCTTTTTTGCTGTCATGCTGAAGCATGCTTTTGGAATTACACCAGAAGGTGTCTATCTCTGAACTAGATCAGGTGGAAAGCTCTTTAATCTCTCTAAATTAAGACCAATGTCCAGCTGAAATGCATGCAGGACTTCCTCTCCTCTGATGATGCAGCCGTTGTTGCTCACTCTGCTGAAGACCTCCAACAACTCATGAATCATTTTAGCAAGGCCTGCCAAGACTTTGGATTAACAATCAGCCTGAAGAAAACACAAGTCATGGGCCGGGGCGTGGACTCACCTCCCTCTATTACCATCTCCACACAAGAACTGGAAGCTGTTCATGACTTCTCAGCCACACTACTTGCTGTTCCAAGTCCTCTATTCAGAGCACGTTACCATAGTCTCTCGAGACTGAAGGATGCCTAATGTTAAATCTAATCTTAATCTGTTTCCTAAACTTTTTAGACTCTTGGCTCTCTTTATTTACTGGCCACTGACTGCTGCTCTGCAGTATAGTAGGACTGCCATATTCATGTAATCAGTACCCACAAAACAAAATAAAACGAAGGAATACATCTTCCCAAGGTATATTATCAGGACTGGCCACTAGACAGTAGCAGGGACTATGCTGTATACAGGTGACTTAATGGAAACACTCTCATGGCTTGAGATTTCTATGGGAATCAGCTTCTGTGTAATATGGAGGAGCTGCAGTTTTGCTGGGGAAAAATGTGATAAATCCCCCTATGGTTATGTGACTTTTAATCATGTTCCTGTGACTTTTAATCACTTTCCTGTCATGCTCTAGGGCAGAGGTCTCCAAAGTACAACCCACAGGTCACATCTAGCCCACCTGACCTTTTTAGCCAGCCCATCCGTGTGCACAGGAATGCGGGAATGCGGATGGGTGGGAGTGAGTTAGTGCATGCATGTGAGCGAGTGGGTGGGAGTGCGGGTGGACGGGTAGGCATACGTGTGCATTCCTTCAGCCCTTAAAAATATCACAAATACATTATGTGGCTTTCCATGTGAAAAGTTTGGAGACCCCTGCTCTAGGGTAATGGGGTATATATTCCAGGATGTACATCCTAATGTGTTTTTGAGTTATAGTACTAAGTCATTTCTTTCCAATTCAGTAAGTGGCTAGACCATCTTGTTGACACAGTTTAAGTTGTTAACCAACGCGTCAATACAAATGTCATGAAAAAATTAAAAAAATTAAAAGCAGTTTAAAAGGACTTTCACAGTGACAGTAGTTCAAAAACGTTGTGATAAGACTGTTCACATAAAGACACACAGCAATATGATGCTTTTTGAAAAGATGTTCAACAACAACAACAAAAGTAGAAGCCTCTGCCTAAGCAAGAAATGATCCACAGTTAGTATTCTTGCTGGGTAAATGATTCAGTAATGGCCGTGCATCATGCGACCACAAGTTTATCAAAGAAACTCAATGAGAAAAGTAAGGCAATATTTGTCTCATGTGACCACAGACTAAGCCGTCATTTTCTTAGCAAAATTGATATTTTTTTCTATGAATCCAGATGTTAACTATTTAACTTGTTTGCCAAAAAAGGACTCTCACAAAAGGCTTTCCATTTTTGTATGTTTTTCTTCCAGGCTGTCTTCCTCATCCTTAAAAACTGTCTGTAAGGCAACCTTTAGGCAGACTCTGAGCAGACATTTCTTTTGTCTCCCACCAATAAAGAAATAAATCAGTGGGTTTACGCTACTATTCAGAGAGGAACATGCCAAGCCCAGCACCAGTAATTTGGCTTGAGGAGCGCTAAAAGAATGAACTATATATGTCATGTTCAGAGGCAAGCTCAAGATAAGGAAGGCGAAGAGCGCAAGCAAAATAACAGTCATGAGTTTTCCTTGCTGGCGTTGTTTTGTTCTACTGCAGAAGCGGCCGCAGAGGGTGAGCGTGGAGATCAACATGAGTGGAGTGCAAAGAAAAACGTTCACGATGAGCTGATAGATTAGTGAGGAACCACCTAGGCTCCCTGTCTGGAGGAGAGTAAAGTGAACGGCTGAGAGCAGGAAGGAGATGATCCATATTAGGGCACAAACAAGGGCAGACAAAGCCGGTGGCCGGTGGCACCGATGCCAAAGTGGGAAAAGAACAGCCACACATCTGTCAATGCTGATGGCTGCCAACAGGAACTGGCTGGCTGAATATGTGAAGAAAAACAGTTCAAAACATATTAGAAATAAATGAGAGAAACTATCCATTGTCCTGTAGTGGCCGATTCCAATTG